TCTAACATTAATGAAGAAGTGTTTCCATGACTCATTTTGCCAATATATATTTTGTTGCCTTATATCTGCATTATTATATCTTTATGATTAATAATAGGTTGACCTATTATTACGTCAATGTCGCCTATTTCGGCCTCAACAAAATGAATGACAGATTCTATTGAGAAATTTTTGAAGTTAAAATTTACTGTGCACATTCCCTTGGGGAATATTATGCTGTTTCCGAAACCTTGAACCACAATTCGAGATGTTCCCAAACATATATTCAGTTTTTTAATCAATGAAACATTCGCTACATTTATTTGGCTTCCGGTGTCCAAATATCCTCTACAGCTAATATTATTTAAGTCAACATTCACAATGTAACTATTATTCGGTACTTGCCTTTGTAATAGTCGTAGGATTCAAATGCCAACATTCCTCCTTCACGTGACCTTTTCGGTTGCAATGAGTACACTCCTTTAATTTGGGTTTGGTACCATAGTCGTTATTCCCATGGTCTCCAGTTTTTCTTGACGGTCCAGGTGATCCAGCGTTGGTATCTCTGAAGAAACAGTTCCTTGCGATATGGCCACCTTTTTTACAAATGAAACATTGATAACTAGTTAATTTTTTTGCACATTGCCTGTGAAAGATTCAAAATTCTTGAAGTTTTGTATAATTTTCTTGACAGTATTTTTTTTCGAAATCGGGTCGCGAATGTATTACATATCCTTGAAATACTTTCTTCACATACTTCGTGAATAATAAATAAATCCAATTCATCTTCATTAGTGTAATTTAATCGTCCTGGCATGATTTATTATTGACAATTTGCAAATGACAAGTAGTTGCATCAATTGCTTATTTTCTAACGCCGCGTCGTCATGGCCAACTGACAGAATGTAGAAACGGTATAGTAAGTATTCTTTCGATAGAAAAATATATATTGCAAATATTTCAAAAACTACTGATTTTCGGAATAGGTATCCTTATACAAAGTTACCCTTATTTTCAATGCCTAATACGATTAAATCATAAAAATGAAGGGGTTTCCTTTTGAAAAAAGTCACTTCAGACTGTTTATTAAATTTCATTTATATTTTTTTTTATCATCCTGTATTGATAATTATCGAAATTACATATAGAGTCTATTAAATTTGGTTCTACTCTACAAAGAACCCGAATAAAACATAATGATAAAGGTTTGCTCATAAGAAAAATTGATAAATATTTAATGGTCTGCAAACATCATTTTTCACAGACTTAGTTATAGAAAATTTCACAAAAAACTATTTAGATTCTGATGTAGAATCCAAAAATGTAATAATATATGTGGTGTTCTTTTTGAAATAACGAAGTTGACACCTACTTCCGGTATAACCAGAAGTGCCGCCATCTTAAAAATATTTCAGCCGAGTTGCTTGTATCGACTAGGGACGGTTGAAAGGAACAAAAGTTTCCTTTTCAGGAATGCAACATAATGGTATTCTGAGATCAATTAAATCACCAATCGTTTGAGATATTTGCAAAAAATTAAAAATGACAGATTTAATTTTTTTTGCTCTACCGCCTCCATTTTCAATAATATCAAAAAACGACACGAGAACTTTTTGCTTCATTTCGTGTTTTCTGCTTCAACCCATTTTCTAATGTAACGATTCCCTCATTTAAACCCATCATTAATATATTCTTTAAATACGGATCTGTATATTTTTTCATACATTTTTATACTCATTGTAATTACAAATGTATTGATATATCCCAACATATGTATTTATAGACGTTTATCCCGTTTATCAATATTCTATAACTTTTTATTAAGAACTGAAACTTTCGAATATTACCGAAATTCAAACAGAGTTCTCCCATCGGTGATGTCGTTCATTGAGATCCTGAATATTTATATTCACTGATATCCAATGAATTCAAAAAAGATTTACCATAATGATGAAGTTACATTCATTCGATTTAGAATTTGTGTAAAATAAAAAAAAGAGAACAAGGAAGTATCTCTGAAGAAAATTGCTGATAATTCGGCCATTTCCACTGTACCGAAAATTAAAAGTCCAACATTTGCGTTTGACAAACTTCAGGAAGAGGTTTTGTGGATGGCTGATTAGAAAATTCCATGAAAATAATGGAATTTGCAAAATAAAATATTATGATTTGATCAAAGTAGATTGACCAATAACGGATGGTTCAACAGGAATATACATTATTACAGTCGACAAGAAAATGAATATTTACATGAAGTTAACAATTTTCAAGAGATATATGGTGTTAACATATGGCTTGGTGTTCTTGATAATAACATTTTTGGCCCCCACTTTTTTAAACATCTCTGACCGAAGAATTATACTTGGACTTCTCATCAAGGACTCTAATTGAGTTTCTAGAAGATTTGCCACTTAGCCTAATAAGAAAATATGAGTATTTCTAATGCGACGTAGCTCCACCACATCGCAGGAGAATGTGCAGAGATTTCCTCAATACAACTATGCCAGGACCGCACCTTTCTTTTTTAGATTTTTCGTTATGTGGCTCCATGAAAGATGAAGTATTCCAAACAAAATTTGAAAATAATGAGGAATTGAAAGATTCAATCAGGAGAGCATGCATGGTTATCACTCCACAGATGTTAGAGAACTGCCACAAGCACACTATTTCTAGAGCAATTATCCATTTGAGAAATTATGGAAGATAATTTGAA